ACCCCCACTTCACAATCATTATTTTTTTTTTTTACCCCCGATTGCAACTTCCTCTTACCCCAACATATATCTAACCCCCCATTTTTTTTTTTTATTATTTTTACCCCCGATTACTCACATTCCTCTTTACCCCAACATATCGGTACCGACAATTTAACAATCAATTTTTTGAATCCCCGATTATCCACATTCCTCTTACCCATACATTATCTACCCAATTAATCAATCATTATTTTTAACTAACCCCGATTACCACATTCCTCTTCCCCAAACTATCTACCCAATTTCACAATCATTATTTTTACCAGACATTCCCACATTCCCCTTAACCCCCAACTGCTCTACACAAATTAACCACATTTCCTCTTACCACCACAAACAAAAAAAACAAAAAAGAAACCAATTACAAACAATTCATTTTAACAAACCCCCCATATAAACCTCATTCGCCCTTACCCCAAATTATCCTAACCCCCCACATTGCGACATCATTATTTAGACCCACCCGATTACAAACATTCCTCTTACGCCCAACATTATCTACCCATTCAACACCACATTCCGATTACCCAAACCAATTACAAAACATATTAAATGAACCCCAAATTACCACATTCCTCTTCACCAACCACACCCAACATGATCTACACCCAATTCAACAATCATTGTATTTTAACCATAAACCACCCACCTCCCTTACCACATTCCTCTTACCCCCAACATATATCAATACCCCATTAACAATCATTATTATATACCACTACACCACACGTAACCCGATTAAACCAACATTCCTCTTACCCACATTATCTACCACCCCAATCACATCATTAATTTTATACCCCATTACCAACATTCATCTAACCCCAAAAATTTTACAAAGCATTATTTTTTTTACCCCAATTATAACTCATTCCCCCTTAACCCAACATTATTATAATTTAACCCCAATTACCACATTATCAATTATTTTTAACCCCAATTATACCACATTCCCCTTACCCCAAATTAACCACATTAATCAATTATTTACCCCACTTAAAAAAACTCAACTACACAAAATAAACATTCCACCTTACCCCACCATCCAACCTTATCTAGCCAACAATACCATATTATAATTTATTTTAACCAACCCAACTCCCACATTCCCCTTCCGTAAACCAACCTTACTACACCCAATTACCACATCTCTACACCCCTACCCCATTAACAACATTCTACCTTAACACCAAATTACAATTATTATTTTTTATCCCCAAGTATTTATGCCCAATTAACCTACTCCTCTTACCACCGGTTCTAGTGACTCACTGCCCAGTACAACTCTGTGCTGACACAACTAGAAATATGACACACAATTCTCAATCTTGTTAACTTGGCCAGTTGCAATAGCTTCCTTCTTACCACTGCTTTTTTTGCCTTCTCCTATATATGTGTTTGTTGTGTTGTGGTGGGGTTTTTGTTGTTTGGGTTGGTGGGTGGGTTTGGTGTGGTTTAAATTCCTCTCTCCTGAGGACTTCCGAAAGTGAGGTGGGAACTTCCTCAGGTAGCTGGAACACATCTTCACAAATATCCCTCTCTCCTGAGAACACATTTCATATCACCGTCATCAGGTCGTGAGTTGCTTACTCTTCGTTCTTCAGGAGTCCCCGTACAGAAGATTGAACCGAGACTCTGTTCTTATGTGGGGCACAGTGCGAGGATGCTGTGAGTGTGTGGTTTTCTTCTTCTTCTTCTCTTCTCTCTGTTGGTCGCACAACAATAATATCCATCCCCTCTTCTCTTGGCATATCTCCACATTTGAACTTGGCTGGACCCTCATTAGCTAAACAGGGGGTTAGAAAAAGCAGCCTCAAAACTGTGTACATGTCAAAGTGATTCCAGTTACCAACATCTCCTTCTATTCCCTGGAAGGCAGCCACAGGTGACACTCTGTGTCTCTCTCTATACCCTTCTTGATCCGACCTTCTCTCCCAATGATATACTTGAAGAAAACTGAAGACTAAACTACACTGTCTCCTTCTCCTCCTCCTCCACAAACCCATCTGAAGGCTCCAGTCTCTCAGCCTCTCTACCTCTTCTCTCCCTGCTGCCTGCTCGCCGTCCAAACTCCACGTCTGTCAGTTCAAAACGTGCATCATGGATGTTCTGGAAGTGGAAGGATTCGAGACGAAGCGAAAACGTATCTTGGGAGCTGTCAAAAGCTTGGAGAAGTTTGCTGGACAATTACTACATTCCTCTTCCCCCAATTACAAACATTCTACCCCTATTCTACCTTACCCCAACATTATCTATCCCAATTACCACATTCCTCTTACCCCAATTACAAGCATTATTTTTTACCCCAATTACCACATTCCCCAATTACCTCATTCCCCTTACCCCAACATTATCTACCCCAATTACCACATTATCAATTATTTTAACCCCAATTACCACATTCCCCTTACCCCAATTACCACATTATCAATTATTTTAACCCCAATTACCACATTCCCCTTACCCCAACATCCAACATTATCTACCCCAATTACCATATTATCAATTATTTTAACCCACCCAATTCACAATTACATTATCTACCATTATCTACCCCAATTCACAATCATTATTTTTACCCCGATTACCACATTCCTCTTACCCCAACATTATCTACCCCCAATTCACAATCATTATTTTTTTACCCCGATTACACATAATTTTTATTACCCATTACCCATTCCTCTTACCCCAACAACTTATCACCACTACCCCAATTCACAATCATTATTTTTACCCAATTACCACATTCCCCTTACCCACATATTACCCAATTCACAATCATTATTTTTACCCGATTACCACATTCCCTTACCCCCACATTATCAAACAATTCAATCATTATCTACCCCAGATTACACATTCATTTCCTTACCCAACATTATCTACCCCACTTCACAATTCACCCCTTACCCCACATTATATACCCGCCGATTACCAACATATCCTCTTACCCCCAACATTATCTACCACCAATCACAATCATTATTTTTACCCCGATTACCACATTCCTCTTACCCCAACATTATCTACCCCAATTCACAATCATTATTTTACCCCGATTACCACATTCCTCTACCCCAACATTATCTACCCCAATTCACAATCATTATTTTTACCCCGATTACCACTTCCCTCTACCACCCCAAAAACATATCTACCCCCCCAATAAACAATCATTATTTTTACCACCGATTTTTTTGTATGCACATGAGCCAGAAGGAGATACGACCCACTATCCTAATGCTTTGACTAAAGATGGAGTGTGGAATGATAATGTCTTCTATCTAACTGCACCTATCCCTATCTCACCCAAAATTTCGCTGTTCCCCCATATAACAAGGGTAGGTGTCAAAGATTTCACCACACACACCACATTTTTTGTACGGCACTTAGCAGAAGTAGAGACGACCACCAACTATCCTAATTCTTTGCCAAATCACAATCATTTTTACTCCCAAAACCACACCATCCCCTACCCCAACATTACTACCCCAATTCACAATCATTATTTTTACCCCGTCCCGAGTTGCTCACTGGTCCTCTTACCCCCATTAATCAACATTATGCTTCTTTCACCCAATACCCCCAATTACCACATTCCCCCTCTTCCCCAGACTATCTACCACCCCAATTCACAATCATTATTTTTACCCCCCGATTACCACATGCTCTTAACCCCCACATGTAATATACCCAATTCACAATCATTTTTAACCCAAGTACCACATTCCCTTGTACCCCCAAATTATCTACCGCCCATTCACATTCATTATTTTTACCCCGGATTACACATTCCTCTTTCCCCATTACAAACATTATTCTAACCCAATTACCCGGTCCGCTAGTTTAACCCCCCCATTACCCACATTCCTCTTACCCCACTTACACATTCCCCTTACGCCAACATTATATACCCCATTCACAATCCATTTTAGCTCCCATGGGAACCATAAAACACCTTTCCCTTATACCCCAACGTTATCTACCCCTACCCAATTCACCAGCCATTATTTTTACACCCCAATTACCTACATTGCCTCTACCATAATACCACAATACTCTAAACATACGCTACGCCCCAATTACCACATTCTCTTACCTACCTTACCCAACGATTAGCTACCCAATTCACAATCATTATCTATCCCATTACCACATTCCTCTTATCCCATTACAAGCATATTTTTACATACCCCAATTACCCGTCTTCCCTTCACCCAACATTATCTAATACAATTAACCACATTATCAATTATTATTTATACCCCAATTACACACATTGCCCTACCCACCCCAATGACCCCATGTATCATTATTTAACCCCAATTAACCACATTCCCCTTACCACCCCAACTTATCTACCGCGGGCCATTCACCATCATTTCTATCGCCATACCACCACATCGTGCTTATCCCCATTACAATCATTCTTTATTACCCCAATTACGCTCATTCCCCTTACTACCTATCTACTACCCCAATGACCATATTATATCATTATTTTAACCCCAATACCACATTCCCCGTCTGGCCACATTATCTACCCATCTACCACTCTAACCCCAATTACCACTTCCCTTACCACCCCAATTACTAAACATTCTACCTTAACCCCATTACAATTATTATTTTTACAGTATTGGATGCCCAATTACCTTACAGTTCCTCGTAATAGCCACCCAATTACTAGGCCTCACTGCCCAGTACAACTACTGTGCTGCCACAAACTAGAAATAGGAGCACTACACATTCTCATCTTGGTAACTTGGCCTTGCAATCGCTTCCTTCACCACTTTCACCACTGCTTTTCCTCTCCTATAAATTTTATATACAGTATGAACCAACAGTATTATGTAGGGACGAAAACCTCTTCGCTTCAGAGAAAATCCGCAGGACTCCGACAGTGAGGTGGAACTTCTCAGCGGTAAGCTGGAACACAGTTCTTCCACAATCCCTCTCTCCTGAGAACACATTTCATATCACAGTCAGTCAGTCGATGAGTGCGTTGCTTACTCTTTGAATTTACCACATTCCCCAATTACCTCATTCCCTCAACCCCAACATTATGCTACCCCAATTACCACATATATCAATTATGTTTAACCCCAATTCACATTCCATTCCCCTTACCTACGATAACACACATCATTATTTTAACCCCATATTACACATTACCCCTTACCCCAACAGCACATTATCTACCAATCTACCCCGAATGACCATACAGAGTTATCAATTATTTTTAACCCACCGCATTCACAAGTACATTATCTACCATTATCTACCGCCAATTCACAATCATTGATCATTTACCCCGATTACAACATTCCTCTACCCCAACATTATCTACCCAATTCACAACAATCATTATCTTTACCACCGATTACCACAGTTCTGGTTCTTACTCTCAACATTATATACCCAATTCACCATCATTTTACCTTACCACCCCAATTCCCACATTCCCACTTCCCTCCAACATATTTCGTACCAATTCACAATCATATATTTTACCCCGATTACCTACATTCCTCTACCACCCCAAATTACAAGACATTATTCTACCCAATTACCACCATTCCTCTTACCCCAACATTTCTTCCCTACCACCAATTCACAATCATTATTATTACCCCCGATTTACAACATTCCTCTTACCACCCCCAACAGTATCTCCCCCATTCACAGTCATTATTTTTACCCCGATTACCAATTCCTCTGCTCCCCAACATTATCTACCCCAATTCACAATCATTATTTTTACCCCCGATTACCACATTCCCTCTTAACCCAACATTATCTACCACGACCCCAATTAACATCATTATTTTTACCGCCGATTTTTTTTGTCGGCACAGACAGAAGGAGAGACACCCAACTATCCTTTTAATGCTTTGACTAACGATGGAGTGTGGAAATGATAATGTCTTTCTATCTCACTGCACCTATCCCTATCTCACCCATTTCCAGCTGTCTTCGCTATACAGGGGTTAGGTGTCAAACGATTTCACATTTTAATGTGCACATGACAGAAGGAGAGACGACCCCAACATATCCTTAATTCTTTGCAATTCACAATCATGGGGTTTTACTCCAATAACCAAACCACCTTCCCCTTACCCAAGCGCAACTTATCTACCCCAATTCACATCATTATGTTTTTACCCCTCTTGCCAACAATTCCTCTTACCGCCAATTTACAAACATTATTCTACCCCATTACCACATTCCTCTTACCCCAACATTTCTACCCAATTCACAATCATTATTATTTAACCGTTATTACGACCACCACCCCGATGTCAACATTCCTCTTACCCCACTTATCTACCCTACCCCAATTCACACTCAAGTATTTTTACCACCCATTACCCACATTCCTCTTACCACCCCAACATTATCTAACCCCAATTCACAATCATTTATTTTTTACCTACCACCCCGATTACCCGACAGTTCCGTGCTTACCATACCCCATTACAAACCTCAATTCTACCCCAATTACCACATGCCTTTACCCCAACATTATCTACCCCAATTCACAAATTATTATTAACCCCCGATTACCACATCCTCTTACCTACCCCAACATTATCTACTAATTCACAATCATTATTTTTTAAACCCGCCCGATGACCACATTCCTCTTACCCCAACCTTATCTCCCCCAATTAACAATCATATTTTTACCCGGTACACCACCACACCCCCCGCAATTACCACTTCCGCTTACCCCACATTATCTACCTCTCTATCTTCACCCCATTCCACAATCATTATTTTTACCGCCGATTACCGACAATTCCTCTTACCCCCAACATACTAAACCGAATTCACATCAGTAGTTTTACCACATTCCCACATTCCCTTACCCCAACATTATCTCCCCATTACCACATTCCTCTACACCACCACCCCAATCACAACATTCTACCACCCAATTCTACCTTACCCCAATTACACATCATTTTACCCCAAAGTGTTGGATGCCCGATAACCTTACATTCTCTTCCATACTTACCCCAATTAACTACATTCCTCGTTACACCCCATTACAAACATTCTAACCCTCTAGCCCCAATTCTCTAACTACAAACCCAATTACAATCATTATTTTTTACCTCCATATTACCACATTCCCATTACCCACATTATCTATTCCCAATTACCACATTCCTCTAACCCCTAATTACAAGCATTATTTTTTTACCCCAATTACCTCATTCCCTTACCCCAACATTATCTACCCTAATTCACAATCATTATTTTTACCCCCGATTACCACATTTCCCTTACCCCAACATTATCTACCCCAATCAAAAATCATATTTTTACCCACATTACCACATTCCTTAACCCCCCAAATTATCCGGTACCCAATTACCAACATTCCCTCTCCACCGCCATTACAAACATTTCTACGCAAATTCTCACCTTACCCCAATTATAAATCATTTTTACACCAAGTCATTGATGCCCCATTAACCTATATCATTCTCTACCCTCCATTACTACACTTCCTCTATTCCCCAATTACAAACATTCACCCCTATGCCTACCTTACCGCCAATTAACACATCTTATTTACCGCAAGTATTCAGAACTGCCCAATATATTACAATTCCTCTCTACTCGCCCAATTAACTACATTCCTATTACCACTCTGCCCAATTCAACATTCTACCCCAATTCTAACTAACCTTATCCTTCGCCAATTACAATCATTCATTTTACCCCATTACCAACATCCCCATTACCCCAACATTAATCTACTCCCAATTACCCCACATTCCGTCTTTACCCCAATTCACAAAGCATTATTTATATTACCCAATTAACCTTATTCCTTTACCCCAACATTTATCTAGGTGGAACTTCTCAGGTAGCTGGAACACATCTTCACAAATCCCTCTCTCCTGAGAACACATTTCATATCACAGTCAGTCAGTCGTGAGTTGCTTACTCTTCTGCAGGAGTCCAGTACAGAAGATTTGAACAGCGAGACTCTGTCCCTGATGTGGGGCACAGTGAGAGGGATGCTGATGAAGTGTGTGGGTTTCTCCTTCTCTCTGTTGGTCCACACAATAATCTCCACTCTTCTCTTGGCATCTGCCACATTTGACTTGGCTGGACCCTCAATTACTAAACAGGGGGTTAGAAAAAGCAGCTCAAAACTGTGTACATGTCAAAGTGATTCCAGTTATCAACATCTCCTTCTATTCCCCTGGAAGGCAGCCACAGGTGACACTCTGTGTCTCTCTCTATACCCTTCTTGATCCGACCTTCTCTCCCAATGATATACTTGAAGAAAACTGAAGGCACAGGCAGCTTCAGTCTGTAGTTTCCATTGCTGCGCCTCTCTACTCCGTCCACCTCAGTCTCCAAGTCCTCCCCCTCATCATACACATCATCTCTATACACTGTCTCCTTCTCCTCCTCCTCCACAAACCCATCTGAAGGCTCCAGTCTCTCGGCCTCTCTACCTCTTCTCTCCCTCGCCGTCCAAACTCCACGTCTGTCAGTTTCCTGTAGCTACGTCCTCCACTGACCACTAGAGTTGGTCGAAGTATTTCCTCCACGCCACCACTGGGGTACTGGTAGCTGATGGTAGTACCACAACTGGCTGACTCTCTTCTCTTTCTCTTCTCTACACTACTCGACATCTTGGCTGTAGTGCGCATGCGCGTCGCGCGCGAGAAAGAGCTCAAAACGTGCATCATGGATGTTCTGGAAGTGGAAGGATTCGAGACGAAGCGAAAACGTATCTTGGGAGCTGTCAAAAGTTTGGAGAAGTTTGCTGGACGTGTGCTCGGATCAAGTGGAAAGAACGACACCTCGATTTTTATGCGCGCGACTGAGTGGGCGTAATTTGTTGAGTCGCGTGCAACCGTGTACTTTGACCCCGGTGACTTCCGCTCCGTTTTTCGACGACCAGGCTGACTGCATCAGATTATGACTGTCGGACCGTTTGCGATCGCAGCAACGTAGCTTACCCACTACACCTGGCATTAACGAACCGTACATTCCATGGATTATACGGTGTGTGGATCCTGAAGTATTATCACTCTGCCCATGAGCGCAGAAACGACGGTTAGCAAAATTGACCATGCTGGAGGAGTATATATTCATTCGTCGTAACAGATGGAAGAGTTGACTGAACATAGACAAGTTGCTGAAATATATATTCCGTATTCATCAAGAGCACTTCATATACAGTTGTGTTTTCCACATCTATTGCACTTTTCAGAATTGATGCATACGTTGCTGCGATCGCAAACGGTCCGACAGTCATAATCTGATGCAGTCAGCCTGGTCGTCGAAAAACGGAGCGGAAGTCACCGGGGTCAAAGTACACCGTTGCACGCGACTCAACAAATTACGCCCACTCAGTCGCGCGCATAAAAATCGAGGTGTCGTTCTTTACCACTGGATCCGTTTCAGTGTTAAAGGGACGCACACTAAGCAAGTATAGGCACACAAACATCCTTATATTGCTGAGGCTCTTGCTATTGACTTGTAATGTCTGTGCTATGAACTCTCATCATGTACATCAGGGCTGACCAAGTTTTAATTTATGGTTAGAGGACCAACCCTAAGCAAGTTAGAGGCACAACACCACAATTAGTTTACCAGTTGTATTGCTGAGGCTGTTTGTGGTGTGGTACAACGGTACAACTTGTAATTCGTTCGATGAATGAACTCTCATCATGGTACATCAAAACATCAGTGCACCAAGTTTACTTGTGTGAGAGGACCCACATAAGCACATTACAGGCACAAACAATTTACAAGTCTTTTATTGCCTGAGGCTATTGTGTTGCTGTCCAAACACTTGTATGTTACTCATTGCTCACTAAGTACGGTAGTACTTAGTATATAGGGATTGACATGGTACCTAGCATCATAGATGTATGGGGCTATGATAGGGAGTTTTGTTCATCTTCTCTTCTTCTTCTTCTTCAGATTCAACACCCATAACTCAAAAACGAAACAACATAAGTAATGAAATTTTGTAAGAATGTAGATATCCGTCACCCGAAGAGACTGGTCATACTTATTTCTTTGTAAACAACATTGTTTACTGTAAACAACAACAAATAGCCCCAGGCAATACATTATAAAGGGATCACATGTGTCAGTATAACTCACAAATGGTAAGAGCTATGTGAACGAAACTTTGTAGACATAATGTATTCAATTACCAACATCAAAATCACAACAATACATGTTTGTAAACAACAACAACTAGCCTCAGGCACTTTTCTTTAAATTTACTTCTTCACTCCTCAAACTTTCCAACGGTAGCACGCATAGAGATGAAACTTGGTATGTATGCCTATTATATCATTCCCATGACAATTACATGTTTCCATGACGACTGCATTTTGTTTGAAAAAGCCTCAGGCAATTTTCTTTAAAACCACTTCTTCACTCCTCAAACTTGCTAACTGTAGCACGCATGGAGGTGAAACTTGGTGCGCATGTGTATTACATCGTTCCATGACGACCACAACAACAAATAGCCTCAGGCACTTTTCTTTAAAATTACTTCTTCACTCCTCAAACTCGCTAACTGTAGCACGCATGGAGGTGAAACTTGGTGCGCATGTGTGTTACATCGTTTCCATGACGACCACAACAACAAATAGCCTCAGGCACTTTTCTTTAAAATTACTTCTTCACTCCTCAAACTTGCTAACTGTAGCACGCATGGAGGTGAAAATTGGTGCGCATGTGTGTTACATCGTTTCCATGACGACCACAACAACAAATAGCCTTAGGAACTTTTCTTTAAAATTACTTCTTCACTCCTCAAACTTGCTAACTGTAGCACGCATGGAGGTGAAACTTGGTGCGCAGGTGTATTACATCGTTCCTATGACGACCACAACAACAAATAGCCTCAGGCACTTTTCTTTAAAATTACTTCTTCACTCCTCAAACTCACTAACTGTAGCACGCATGGATGTGAAACTTGGTGCGCATGTGACCGTTTCCAACACGACCACAACAACAAATAGCCTCAGGCACTTTTCTTTAAAATTACTTCTTCACTCCTCAAACTTTCTAACTGTAGCACGCAAGGAGGTGAAAGTTGGTGCGCATGTGTGTTACATCGTTTCTATGACGACCACAACAACAAATAGCCTTAGGAACTTTTCTTTAAAATTACTTCTTCACTCCTCAAACTTGCTAACGGCAGCACACATGGAGATGAAACATGGTATATATGCATATTATTTCCGTGACGACAACAGGCATTTTTTCTCTATTAAAATATTTATAGGGGCTTGCCCCTTCCACAGAGATAATACATAGTAGTATATAAAAATGAGTGGAGACAAGTAAATAAAAAAATCCTGTGAATTTAAAAAAAGAGGCATATAGGGATTGTATAAAAAGAAAGGGAGACAAGATAGGGATGGCATATATAAGTCATAGCTTCCATACATGTACATTGTGACACATAGGGACACTCCCCGAGCCCACGAGACAATCCCTATATTGTTGCCTAGGTGAAGTATATGCCTAACGAGCTCACACTATAAGCACAACCATACTCAGTGATACACATTGGAACTTGCATTCCACTACTGCACGAGAATATAGTCAACCTGGAGTGCTGCTGCTGCCCTCTTTGACAGGGATGGCCAAATGCGGCCCCGGGGCCACTAGCGGCCCCTGCGATGTAGTTAGCGGCCCCTGGGCATCTGTCGTATGCGCAATTCTATTCGTGCACAGTGGGGTCGCCGGTCGCCGGTGCAGCGGCGGCGCTACACCCGCGCGGCCACACGCAACGCACGCACGGGCAAGCGCAACACACGTGCATGAAGATCGGAGTGCGTGTGCGTGCGTGCGTGTCAAGAGTGTGTTATTGGCCCCTGGTGTGTAGTTTGTCTTAAATTATTGGCCCCTACCAGCTTCAATCTTGGACATCCCTGTTTGATACTAGGGCGCATGCGTGAGAATCACTTCCTGTCTTTATAAATCTGTGTGCACACTTTTAATCATTCAGTCATGTCTATAATCTCAACACAAAATGCAAACCCGCCTGAAAGAGCAACTTACAGCTACTTTTACAGATGTATATTATACACACCAGGCAACAATATAGGGATTGTCTCGTGGGCTCGGGGAGTGTCCCTATGCGTCACAATGTACATGTATGGAAGCTATGACTTATATATGCCATCCCTATCTTGTCTCCCTTTCTTTTTATACAATCCCTATATGCCTCTTTTTTAAAATTCGCAGGATTTTTTTATTTACTTGTACTAATGATAGGTTGCATGTGTGTACAAAGTTTTATCACTCTGGGTGTTTCCTCTACCTAGTATATAGCACACTTTATTGGTCTATATAAGTAAGTTATTGTGACTTGCGTGGACGGATAAAAGGAGCCACACAAACTTTTATTTCCCGTATTGTAGTATGCGTTCAATATGACTAATATTTACAAAAATTATTGAACTAGCATCAGCATAGTACACATAGTGTAGACAAACACTGTTCTGTAGAGGCTGTAGAAGCGAGGGATGGCCGAGGCTAGGGCTAAGGCTAGGGCTTATGGTTGGTCCCCTTCATTCAACTATCTCTTCTACACTCTTGCTCTCTGCGGCAAGCGAAACCGGTTAAACGGTCCAGCGACCTATAAAACGAGGGAGAAAAAGCCACCATCACGACCTTGTTCGATTGCGGTAGTCTTGAGAACAGAAAACTCGCTCAAGAACCTAGCGAGTGCGCATGTGCGCATGAAATTTAGTTCATAGCATACCAGCCATAGGTACATATAGATAGATAGATAGATAGAAAATAAAAACCGCCACCAATATATCCACAAATCCCAAAACATCCATAAAAAACACATACACAAATACACATGACATGACATGAGAGCAGGACACTGGGTGCCCAGCCTTGAGAACTGGGGCGGTGGGTTAAAGAGTCATTTATGGCTAGCCAACTCTCTCCACACACCCAGTATCCAAACTCCACATCACAAACAATGACAGCCACACAGGGAGTAACTGTACCATAGCACAGTCACGACAACACATGTAGAGTATGATACATATAGATGGTAGAAAAATGAGCATGATAGAAAAATAGAATCTAGCTTACTTACTGGAGTGGTAAAAACAAGACTCACTTGTAGCAGTAAATTCATGGTAGAAAAATATAGAATGACTTACTTGTAGCGGTAAAAACGTGGTAGAAAAATAGAATCTTGACTTACTTACGCAGTAAAAACGTGGTGCGCTATCGTGGTTCCTATTAGTGCCACCCCAAGTAGTGTACATAGTAAATTATGCAGTAGTCAATGTGAAGCTTATGTCTGATAACTGTTAGTGTAGCTACCAACCCCACGAGATCTTCTGTGTTGAGACATGGCGGCCCAGGAATCCATCACTGGCTGGCAAACATACACCGTCCTCAATAATTATGTCTTCGTACACTGCGGTTGCCAAATGACTTTTTGCAAACTTTATAAACACTTTACATAGCTCCGCATATCTAAATCCTTGATTCCTTTTTTTGTGAGTTTGTAATGTCACTCACAAAATTGCTCGTAACCACTGCATATTCTACCTATACGTACAAGTTGGGAAACATATACATGGGAAGTATGCTACGCTGTCACATTTCTCTCACTGGAGGTCGACGACTGCTATAAAAGACAATAAAACACAAAATGTGCATCCCATCGTTATATACATGACTTACGGGAACTCGGGTTGTGGTCTCGACTACAAATGGGCATAATGCAGGACGACCTGTGTCTTCCCTATAATTATACTAAGTACTACCGTACTTACAGTGACAAGACATGGGTTGCAATCAACATGCAAGAGGGGTCGATTTCGATGTAAGCATTCTGCCACTAAATGCCTGGTTTCCATGCATTTCTCAGGAGTGTTAATAGGTACTCAATGTGTGTGCAATGTCTGGAAAAGGGTTAGGGACTAAAACATTTGTTTTAAACAGCAAGATAAATTACCTGCTTAATATTGTGGTTGGTCTTGCAACTAGTCTCCAAGAAAGGAATTTCGAGTTCGGCTGCAAATTCTTCACCCCTTGCCCTGGAGACAACTCTGTCGGACTCCAGCTCACACTTGTTGCCAATCAACACTTTCATCACGTCACCAGGTGCAAACTGTGTTGGTATATACATAACTTGTATGCACCTCTGCATGAAACACGTTGCCGTCCAACCATATGCAGTGCACTACCTCCTACACCACCACTTCTACAGCACGGCATAAGTAGGCAAAAGATGCCTTTATTCAACGAACATGAACCCTTCTACGGAAACCTAAGTAGCCCACATATGATCGCACTGTTGCTTGCACTGTTTTCCTGCACAATGCACCTACTATTAGAGTAGGCATATTATATTATTACAATTATACATTGACATCTATGCATAATGGTGAGCAAAGTATCACTAAGTACGGTAGTACTTACTATATTATAGGGATGGACATGGTACCTACAGTATGAGTCAAAAAAGTAAATGAAAGTAACGTTACTTCGAAGTAAGGTTACCGTAAAGTTACGTTACTTGTAAGTAACTCAAAGGGATAACGGCAGGAACGCGCGGACTTCGGGCATGCGCTTAAATTGATTGACCACACCCTCTAATTACATCTCCACTAAGCGCATACGCTTTCTAGTCACCAGCACCGAAATACCGTTTTTGTAGGCACATGCGTTTATATTCATGCGCATACACGTGCAGAGCTGTGGTTGAGACAGATGGATCACGAAGCAGCGACAAGGCATCCGACCTGGACCATGTAAACCTCTCGGACGCCCCGGACTCTCAGTGCAAAGGCTCTCAACTTGGCAGGCAGCAGTAATCATACCTCAGGAGTGCAGTATCGTGTGTGTGTAATGTAAAAGAGAGTAACTAAAAGAGACTATTTCCCGTTTTGCTGTGGTTATGCAAGTCAAACCGGGTAGAGCTGTGAAATGTTCGCCATTATGTTCTGAAGAGTGTCCCTGGCAGTCTGCCCATACCGCTCCCTCACAATAAACTCATCCAAGTAGCTGGGAAGTGATGGGGCATGGCACCCCTTCATTCTCTTCAGCTTTGTCTTCACTCTTCCCCAATAACTTTCCACATTTTGGGTGTGAACACCAGTCGTGGGCTCCACAAAATGCAGAGAGTGGTTGACGACACCATGGGCAGCAACAGTGGGCAGCGTCTGCACTCCTCTATAGGCCGCCCACTGAATGACACTGCCTGGTGCAGTGTGAGCTGTTATGATAGGGAGCAAGGTAGCAGCATCCCGCCTCCTCACCACCTCCATATATCCCAGTGCAGGTGTGTGGGAGGTGTCCACCAAACCAAATACCCACACCTCTCTCGTGGTGTCTCTTCCACGGTGATGCTGTTGGGTTGTAACATGTGTTGAAAGTTTCATTTTGGTATTTTCCTTACTTTTGGTTTGTGCCGAAAGAGACTTTCGTCTATCTGCACCACTGATTGCTGGCCTCCTAAGATGATGGGTGGGCCGTTCAACAGCGTCTGGGAGCATACCTCTCGTAGCCATTGGTACACGTCAATGGCTGTATGCTGTGTTACCTCGGCTTCCTCACAGGCGTCTGTCACGGGGTATTGTCGTACCCACATGTACATCAGCAGAACCCATTTCTGCAGCGTCAACCGTAACTTATCAAAAAAGCTATCCTTTCTGATACTTTTTCTTGTGTAACACTCTTGGCAGTACCAACTAATGCCATCAGAGACATCATCTCTTGGTCACTCAACCATCTGAACGTTTGGACACCTACATATATCGTTTTGTTTAATTTTATTACCCTGAATTTTACCTAGTACAGGCCATTGCTGTTGCAAGCAAATGATTTTGCCGCAGGTACGCAATGATTCGTGGTGTACCTCCAAAGATCACTTCCCCAAGCTGAAGAAGAGATATCGTTCGCTTTGTTTGTTGTTTTGAAGCGGGAAAACTTTGCCGCAAGCGCGTCGTTTTCGTCCAATAACCGTGCAGTGAAAAGGTGGGAAGGGCTCGTTGCACCACTGCGCATGCGAACTCTTACCGCAACCCTGATATATAAGCGCATGAGCTTTGTAATACCTACAAACGGTATTTCGGTGCCGGTGACTAGAAAGCGTATGCGCTTAGAAAGCGAAACGGCTCGAATGGGCAAAAAGTACATAGATGATGATTTCTCCAATGTCATTTTTACGGATGAGTGCTCTGTTCAACTTGAGGCACACCGAAGACGTGCATGCCATAGAATTGGCAATCCTCCCAAACCTAAACCAAGGTATGTATAAAAAATATTCATAAGAAATTCACGTAGCAAACAACTGCTAGAAACAAGGGGTGTTTTGACCCGTGAGTCTTCATCGGCCTCTACACGACCCCTCGTCTCTAACAGTTTTATGCTACTGTACGTGAATTGCTCCTACGCCTCCTACGAAAAACATTCGAACATACAGTATATGCAGTGTATCTACATACATATCCCTTTCACAGACCAAAGCACCCAACAAAGGTGCACGTTTGGGCTGGGATAAGTGCCCGGGGACCAACCAATATTGTCATATTCGACGGAATCATGACAGCAATGTGCTATGGTCGTATCATTCAAGCAGCTTTTGTACCTTTTATCAAAAATGTGTATCCAGAGGGTCACCTCTTAATGCAGGACAATGACCCAAAGCATACTTCCAGGTATATTCAGAAGCTTTTTGAGGATGAAGGAATTGTTTGGTGGAGAACGCTGCCTGAGTCGCCAGATTGTAATCCAATAGAAATCTTTGGCATGAATTGAAAGAATACATGCGGAGGGAGGTGAAACCCAAAAACAAGGAAGAACTCGTCAATGGCATTAAACAATTTTGGGACACCATCACTGTAGAAAAATGCCAGAGGTACATTGGTCATCCAAGGAAGGTTCTTCCTAAAGTTATTGAAAACAATGGTGAGCCTACTGGGTACTAGTTTCGATTGGATTACAGTCTGGCGACACCTGGAAGTGTGCTTTGGGTCATAGTCCTGCTTTATTTGTATATTATCATGTTCATTAACCATCCTCAAGCTTATGTACATATGTATGTTGAGTTCTGATTTTCTATACTCAGATAATTACATAATAATGTTAATATGACATGACCGACATAATATGATGATGTGGACAAATTACTTATTTATACTGTGCTTAAGGCATGCATGGTTAATGGCTACTTTGCACTTGCTCCTCATTGTAGACAGAAACACACTTTCGTTGTTGTGGTATGCTGGGCAGAGGGAAAAGATTACTTGGCGTATCTTCTCTAGCCCTTCTGTCGGTAAGGGAGAGACACCCTCCATCCTCCCTCCAACAGAGCTGGTAGCCAATAGCTGCTTTCCGAACACACTCTCCCTAGCTACTGCAACAGCTAGTTTTCCCATCTTGTTGTCCCCTCTAAGGTATGGGTACTTACGGACAACTTCCTCTGGTGACAATAGTGTAGGGCAAGAGCCATATATAGATGGATGAGAGGCGGAAGTGGGTGGAGGAGATGTGGAAGTCGGTGGAGGAGAGGTGGAAGTTGATGGACGAGAGGTCAAAGTGGGTGGACGAGAGGTGGAAGTAGGTGGACGAGAGGTGAAAGTGGGTGGATGAAAAGTCGAATTACATGGAAGAGAGGCTGGATGAAAGGTAGAGGTGGGATGAGGGAAGCGAGCTGCAAATGGATGGTATGGGGCAGGACTCCTAGTGTAAGACGCATTAGTTGGGGAATGAGGGGCTGAGTAGGTAGGGTGCGGAGCGCAGAATGCAGGGAGCGAAGAGTAAGGAGGGTGCAATGGAAGGTAAGGTGGGTTCTGTAAAATGTAGAGCATTTTCTCTTGGTTATCAATGATAGTTTTCAGCATATTCTCGGCTGTGGTTGGGTAAGAACAATGGTTAATATGTTGCTCATGTACTGTAAGTAACTTTACTACTTGTATTGTAGTTTAATATTGCAGATAGTGAATGAAGAGGTGACGGAAGAGGAGGAGGAGAGGGCGAGTAATCCATGGTCGTATATATATATCGGGGAGGGAGGGAGAATAGAGGTGTGGGAAGTGGAGGGAGTGGAGGAAGGAAGTGTGCTGGAGAGAACAGGTGGAGGAAGTGGAGGGAGGAAGTGTGCTGGAGAGAACAGAGGTGGAGGAAGTGGAGGGAGGAAGTGTGTTGGAGAGAACAGAGGTGGAGAAAGTGGAGGGAGGAAGTGTGCTGGAGAAAACAGAGGTGGAGGAAGTGAAGGGTGGAAGTGTGCTGGAGAGAGCAGAGGTGGAGGAAGTGAAGGGTGGAAGTGTGCTGGAGAGAACAGAGGTGAGGAGAGTGGAGGAAGTCGTGGAGGGAGTCGAGGAGGGAGGAAGTGTGGTAGGTAGAGAGTGGAGGAAGTCGTGGAGGGAGTCGAGGAGGGAGGAAGTGTGGTAGGTAGTTGTGTGATGACTTCCTAGTAGTAGGTCCCCCCAGATCCTCTGACTGCGAACAATCTCTCAAGGCGACTCTTGCACTGTGTGCTGAGCTAGGTTTCCCAGTGACATCTGAGAAAACGGAGGGTCCCACAAGCAGGTTGACATTTCTGGGTATTGAAATAGACTCGGTGGGTGGCAGGAGAAATCCGCCTTCCCCAGGATAAGTTAGACCGCCTGGAGGCCACGCTCCTGCAGTGGATGTCCCGGGCCGACTCCTAATGCCCTAAGTCCTCCTGCAAGAAATGTGATCTACTATCTTTAAATGGCCTCCTGTCACATGCGGCCACTGGGGTTCGTCGAGGAAGGCCTTTCATACGTGGCCTGATCGATGCGGCAGCTTCGGTACAGGACTTGGACCACTGGGTTCATCTGAATTGAACAGCTAGAGGTGACCTAGCTAGCATGGTGGCATACATTCGTGAAGGGTGGTCTGCCTCATGCCGCCAACTGGCACGCTGCTAACCTTGGTCACGGATGCGTCGGATCATGGGGTTGTGGGGCTGCTCACACAGACTGGTGGTTCCAACTACAATGGCCGCAGCAATGGTGCAGCATATCCATTGCCCCGAAGGAACTTGTCCCTATCATCATGGCAGCAATTCTCTGGGGTCCATACTGGGCAGGAAAGTGCGTCCGGTGCCTATGCGATAACATGGCAATTGTAGCAACTGTCAACAAGAAAACAGCTAAAGACCCTCTCCTGGCAGGTCTCCTTCGGATCCTAGCCCTAGTTTCGGCACTCTCAAATTAGCGCGCACAACACCTCCAAGGTGAAAAAAACATCAGCAGATGCTCTCTCTCGTGGTAATGTCCCCCTTTTGTTCTCTCTTAACCCCCAGGCATCCCCGATTCCCGCTATAATCCCACAAGAGCTCCAAGATCTGGTAATCAACCTCAAAGCACGGTTGATATCTCAGACCTGCACACAACTGTTGATTTCTTCCTTAATAGCAGCTTTGCAGCTTCCACCACTGCAGCCTACAAATCTGCCCAGCAGAGGTATCTCGCCTTCTGTGTCAGATTCGGCGTCGCCCATCCATTCCCCCTCATAGAGCCGACCCTGTGCAGTTACGTTGCATTCTTAGCCAGGGAAGGTCTGAAACACAAGACGATTAAGCATACCTATCCGGCATCATCAGATCTTGGAAGGCCTGGGTAACCTCTTCACAAGTGGCACAATGCCCCAACTGGAGTACGTTCTGTTTGGTGTCAAACGGATCGAGACGCAATCTGGGGCTCACAACCGCACAAGGCTGCCAGTGACAATGGAGATACTGCACAAACTCAGATCCATACGGCTGGAATCGCCCCCTCATCCGGATCGCACTATGCTCTGGGCAGCAGCCTGCGTGGGATTTTTCGGCAGGGGAGTTTACTGTCCCCTCCACACGGCATATGACCCAGCTACCCATCTCAGTCTACAAGTCACCAAGACCAGTCATTGGCTTGTTTAACAAAGCAAAACTGACCCCTTTTGCCAGGGGGTACAAATATTCCGGAGGCGGCCGTACAGAGTTGGCTGTCTGTCTGGTGCATGCTCTGCTACAGTACATTCGGGTGCGTGACTCCAGCCCTGGTCCCCTTTTCGTTCTTCAAACAGGGGTCCCGCTCACACGATAATATCTAGTCAGTCAGATGCAGGCAGCACTGGCAATGGCTGGATTAGACGCAAGGTGCTTTAACGGCCATAGTTTCCGAATTGGGGCAGCCACCACAGCATCAATGCAAGGCCTCGAGGACTCTGGAGCATAACGGGCTCGCACGGAAAGCCCCCGGGTCGCGCCCGGCCGGCCGCCTGCCTGCCGCGTCGCGGTCCTCGACCCTAGGCCCCGCTACGCCCCAGAAAAATCGACAAGACTACCTGTTACGCGGTTTAGAGTTGGCGTGGTCACTACTCCTACCACACTCCTACCACCTAGCCGGCCTACCACAACTTGAACCACACATGATTGAACGGAGGCTTTAGATGAGTATATAATCTGAGAAAAAGAATGACCACACCACAGCAGTGTTACTTTACAGGCACAGAAGTGAGATCGTTTCTGTCACTGGCGCAATGCCATATGTGCGCTGGCGACAGTATTATGGGCCTCAGTGTTCTGTGGTGCATGACTATGTACTGTTCGTGCCAGTAAAGGGAACTCTTCTTTTTGGAGTGTACAGTTATAGAACCCTCGAGAGACCGAGAAATCAATTTAGAACTCCATTGAAATCTAGAAACCGCTGGAAATCGGTTGGAAATCAGTAGATACATATCACGAGGAAATCTGGAAATCAGTTTAAATCCTGGGAATCACGGGCTTTTAGAAATCTCGTACGTCCTAATGGCCCATTTCATACCCCTCGATATGCCCGTTGGCGGAGAGGTCCATGCGCGAAAAGGACCGGCGGCACAGCGCGGCCGGCTGCGTGCAGCCCGCGAAAAACAAAATCACTAGTACGGTAGTACTAACACGAAGCATGGAGCAGTCTGTTTTACTGTGAAACTAATAAACACTGACTAAAAATTACTTGATTTCTGTAGTGCAAATGGAAGAAGGAATTGAACTGAATGGACTGAGTGAGACAAGCTAGTAATGCTGCAGTGCATTATACTAGTCTTTCCAACGCAGGGGTAGGATCTCATGTAGTACATTAAACTAGGAATGCGCACGCGCATATTTTTCCTCGCGCCTATCAGCCAATGCGTAAACAGTCCGACTGAGGCCGCTCGTGCGCACGCTCTACTGACTGCGCGCGACGCCAGGCTTCCTACGAATCTGCGCACACGGCGGAAGCTAGACTTCCTACGAATGACGGAAGTTACACTTCCTTTTTGTGACTAAGCGTGACTAATTGACGACGTACGTACGCATATCGTGAGAATACAACCCGGAGTAGCTGCCTCGCGCTAATGCGCTCGGCAATTATGTGGTTGAAGGGTGAAGTGGATGAGTTGATGAGGGTAAGTGTACATTAACACGTTGCGCACGGAAGTCCAGTATAATGGCCGTTAATCTTCCTCCGCGCTACGCGGAGGGCCACTATAGTGGCCACGCAAATTACGTAAAAATGCGCGCGCGCACGATTTAAAAATAATTCCGCGTAGACAACGTTGCGGGTGTACGCAATAAACGTGTGCAACGTGTTAAAGATAAAACACCATCAATTTCCATGACAACTACATGTTTCTATGACGACTACATTGACTCCCACAATGGAGTATATTATTTATACAGGAGAGAGAGGAGAGAGAGGAGGGCGGCGAGGGGGGATCAAGAACAGAGGGGAAGAGGGAGGGGGAGGGGGAGGGGGGAATGGTAGGGAGGAGATAGAGGGTGAGGGGAGAGAGGGGGAGGGAAGAGAGGGAGCAGGAGGAAGAGGAAGAGGGAAGAGGGAAGAGGGGAGGAAAAGGGAGAGGATGGAGGGGAGGATATGGAGAGGATGGAGGGGAGGAAGGCGAAGAGGGTGGAGGAGGACGGAAGGACTTAAAAAGAAATAAATATTTTATGACAAGTAGTAAAACTGTATTAATCGTATCTACTATGTACTCCCTTGCACATTGTATATCTATATCATTTGACATATCTTTTGTGAGAGGCAAAAAAATAAGTGGAGACAGGTAAAACAAATCCTGCGAATTTTAAAAAAGAAGGAATGTAGGGATGGTATAAAAAGAAAAGGAGACAAGATAGGGATGGCATACAAGTCATAGCTTCCATACATGTACATTGTGAGGTATAAGGACACTCCCCGAGCCATCGACACAATCCCTATATTGTTGCCTAGGTGAAGTATATGCCTAGCGAGTTCGCACTTTAAGCACAACCATACTCAGTGATACACATTGGAGCATTCCACTACTGCACGAGTATATAGCCAACCTGGAGTGCTGCTGCTGCCCTCTTTGAAAATGCAACACAAAATGCAGAAAAAGCAACTTACACCTGCTTTTACAGATGTATAATACACACCAGGCAACAATATAGTGATTGTGTCGTGGGCGCGGGGAGTGTCCCTTTGCCTCACAATGTACATGTATGTAAGCTATGACTTTTATGCCATCCCTATCTTGTCTCCTTTCTTTTTATACCATCCCTATATTCCTTCACACAAGCGCTCTAAAACGTTCTGGACAGAGGAACCCCCCCTTTCAAAATCCTAGATCCGCCACTGATGAGAGTTACCTTATTTGGGCTATATATGTGCAATACTATGCACGTGGTTCTACAGCTAGAGCATCCAATTGGTGCAGTGGCTAAGCGTAGTGTTGCTAAACATATTATAAGTAAGAAATATGTTACATATATATTAGTGAGGCCTCAAAAGTTTTAACAGTAAAATAAAAAGTGAGGAAAGGTTTCAACTCACCCTCTCAATCTCACTGAGCCACTCCGGAAGGTTGTAAATGAGTCCGCATCTGTGATGTCATAAACAAGAATGATTCCCTGTGGAAAACCAAAAAAGGAATTTGAAGGAGTAACACAAATTTTAGTGAGGCACAATGTACCTTAGCTCCTCTGTAGTAACTGCCGTCGAAATCGGTTAACGATCAAATGCTGGAGTATCCCTGTAGATTTAGAGGAAGAGGTTAGTAGTCACATGTGCTTAAACTCTACAGAAAGACTGATAGTGAGAAATGTTAGAGTTACAAGGTTGGCTTCTATACGGATAATAAAGGTCAGCTCTATTTAAAGCACACTGAGGCTAATGGCCCTAAAGCAGGATTTTATATCACCATAATTTTTGTAACACACAATAGACAAGGGGGCTTTGTAAAATCCACTTGGTCTAAGGGAACAAAGGTGAGCAGGTATCAAATGAGGGAACACTGAGTCAAACTTTTAAACCAACATAAATGCAAGACGAGGGACCAGTTACAGCTGTCAATGGCGGAGGATGCGAGGCAGATCCTTGACACCAGTCATGGTGCCAAACCTGTACCTGTAGCTAGGATGGTGGCTATACTATAACAGCAAAGTAAGTCTAATACCGTGTGGGAAGATTCTCAGTGATCAAAAAGGACCATATGCTTACGAGTAAAAGAAGGAATAAAAACAGCATCATTTGAGAAAATAACAAGAAGACCTACCATATCTGCAACTGTATTCTTTTACCCTCCATCTCTATGGTCTTGATTGTAAAATCAGCTCCTGGTCAATGAAAAAAGTGAAATAGTAAGCATAATGTAGTAATCACACGGTGCCTCCTACGGCATGTGCGAGCCTACATGTAAATATTGGTGTAGCCCCTGCATGGCAGAGGTAAAATTAGCTCCTAATTCACCAAAAAATTTATTTTGATGATTTTCATGATTTGGTTTCCAATATAAAATTGATTTTGTCACTTATTTTTCATAGATGATTTTACAACAGATAATGACTGGGAAGGGTGGGACCAAGTAACCTTAGAACTCTGCAGCTATAAAATCACATTCCCCGAGAGAGCAAATAAACCAATTTTACACCACACAGAGGGAAGGAGGGGAAGAGAGAAAAGCGAGATTGAAAACGTGCCCACGCTTACCAATGGGGGAAATGGAAGGGGTGGTGAAAGCATCGTTGCTGTACCTCCTGATTACACTAGATTTTCCAACACCACTGTCCCCTACTAGCAACAGCTTGAAGAGAAGATCGTACTTTTCCTTCGGCACCACCTCACTGGGCTCAGCCTGTTGGTCTTTGCCCAAATCAGCCATCTTTTTGCGCAAAGCGTCGTAACTCGTTATGGACTCCCCGCCACACCCATCGAACAGGTGGGTGTGTCTGGGTATATAGATGCGCGCATGCGCTAGCTGTCTGCGGGATACATTCATATATAAATACGCAGTTCGCCGAGGGTTTGCACTAACTGCAGTGTGGTCAGTGACGACAGTAACAGACTGGCCGTAGAGGTACGAGTGGAATCTGGTAAAAGGCCCAGACTACTGCTAAGGCTTCCAACTCCGTGATACCATAGTTTCGTTCTGCATCCGCCAAAGACCGGCTGGCATAGGCTACTGGGTGTAACTCTGAGTCGTCCTGTAGTTGTTGTAAGACTGCTCCGAGCCCGTTGATGCAGGCATCAGTCTCTACGGTGAACGGTTTGTCAAAAACTGGGGCACTAGTGAGCCTTTCCTTCAGTCTTCATTTATGCTTCGGTCCAGTTGAACACAGTGTTCTTGCGAGTTAATTCTCGTAGAGGTGCAGCTATTCTCGCGAATCCATCAATGAAACGTCTATAGTACGAGGCAAGACCCAGGAAACGTCTCACTCCGTTGACATCAGTGGGTGGCGGGAACATGGTGACGGCCTCGACTAGTCTCTGATTAGTCTTCAACCCCTCCGGAGTTACCAAGTGTCCGAGATACTCAACTTCACTGCGGGCGAAGTGGCACTTGGTTGGCTTGAGTTTCAGTCCTTCTTCTTCAATCCTCTGGATCACTGCTCGCAGGTGCTCAAGGTGCTCCGTTACTGTGTGCGAGATAATGAGCACATCATCGATGTAGACGGCAACAAACTCTGGCCCTGCCTCTGGGTTGAGGCCCGACAAAACCTGCATCAGACGCTGAAAGACTGCGGGTGCATTAGTCAAGCCAAATGGCATGACCAGAAACTCGTACAGGCCTTGAGGCGTGACGAATGCTGTCTTCTCCCTAGAGTCGGTGGCGACTTTTATCTGCCAATAGCCAGATGCAAGGTCGAGAATGGAGAAGTACTTGCAACGGCCCAGTTGATCGAGTAGATCATCTATTGGTGGTAACGGGTAGGTGTCAGGCTTGTCAGGTGGCGGTAGTCCACACAAAAGCGATGACAACCATCTTTCTTCCTAACCATGACAACGGGGCTGGCCCAGGGGCTGCTCGATGGTTGGATCACATGTGCTTCCTGCATACTCTTCAGCCGTCGTGCAACTTCTTCTCTAACAGTGAACGGCATCCGTCGGGGTGCACATCGGCGAGGATGGGCAGCTCCTGTCTCAATATTGAACTCGACGAGATCTGTCTCCCCCGCTCATGTTCCTCCAGTGCAAAGGCTGCGTGATGCTGTCCTAGGAAGTCGATCAGCTACTGTCGCTGTTCTGAGCTCAGTGTATCAACTGACTGGGCTAGTTTATTCTTTCTCCAACTGTCAGGTTTGGAGTGCAGACGTGACACACTTGCACGTTCGGTGGTTGGCATCGGCTGTGATGGTGAACTTGGTCCAAACTTTGAGTCGGTTTCTGGCAGCTGGAGTCTTCCAGGTGCTGGCTCCACTGGTTCCACTGGCACGGCTACTCCAAGTGAACTTCCTTCGTCGACAGTCACGGAGCATCCAGTGTGGTTGGATAGGACTGTGAGGGCTCTTCCGTCTTTGTCAATGTTGATGAGAGATGTGTCCACGCCAACTCCACAGCTCAGCTCAGTACCGTCTGGTTGTCGGAGATCCTCCTGATAGCCCAGGCTCACTTCCACAACTTGACTCTGATGTGGTAGGAGATGAACAGACTGGACGAGATTCACTCGAACGGCCGGGACCTTAGCCTCAGTCGTGGCAGAGAGTTTGGTCAATCCTGGTGTCTCAGTGCTGGAGCTAGATGACGAGGAGTCGTGGCTCTCTGGGTTGCTGGTTGCTGAAGGAGATTACTTCTCTGACTCCTGCGGAGTGGAAGATGAGGTTGTGTTCTTGCGTGCTTTCTTGCTACGTCCTCTCCACTGCTCAGCGTTGGGGTGGAAGGTAACCACTCCAAGCTGGCGACAAACTCCTTCCGAGAGAAGTAACTGGTCGGCCGCATCCATCTTGATGTAGATGGGGGTGCACATAGTCTTTCCATCAAAAGATCCATGCGTCCATCCAATTTGAAGGTCTTCTGGTCGGAAGTCCTAGGGATCTTGTAAGCCTTCTTGAAATGATGTTTCTTCAAACGTGCAACAGTGGCAACTCTCTTGAAGAGCTTTCCCCCAATGATGGTGATGTCTGCACCCGTATCAACTAGGCCGTAGGCAGGCACGCCCTGCACTTCAACTTTGACACATTGACTGTGATTATACCTCCATCTTGCACACGAACCGCACGAGCGTTGGCCCCTCCATCATCATCTGAGTCAGAATAGAGTAGGCTCTCGGGCTAGAGGACCTGGTTTGTCCGTGTCCTTGTCTGTGTCTGCAGACCGGTCTTACTAGGAATTTGACCTCGGTTCTCCTGCTTCTTTTGATGACAATTCCGTGCCAAATGGCCAGGTTTCCCACAATTGTAGCAGATCACCTGGGTCTCTGACGTCGTGCTCGGGGTCGTTCGCTCCTGGGTGCTTGGCGAAGTAGTCTCTTGGTTCGATCTGCAATCTGGTTTGTCCAGCATCTGTTTTCTTGGGACGATTCAAAGGCTCACTAGGCGGCTTCAGCTGATGACGCTGTTGGAGTGCAGCTAAACGATGTTCTTCTCCCTTGGCTGCTACACACAGCTCTTGGTAACTCTGTGCTCCTGAGACTGCAGGTCCCTTCATTAGGTTGTACCGCAGACCGTCATACATTTGGCCGTACAGTAGAGCATCTCTGACCACAGGATTGAGAGAGACCTTACCGTATGCCACATGATAGGCCTTCTCAAGGCGTCTGATGAAGTCTGCTACACTCTCTCCTTGCCGCTGAATGGAGTGACGAAAATCTTGGGCAGCCATGGTCCGGTTGGTAGAGTCCAGTCGGGATCTAAGTGCATCGATAGCAGCGGTGTAGTCCTGCTGCACAGTTTGGCCGAGTAAACTCCACTCCTGCAGAGTTCGTCCTTTGAGGTTACTGGGCAACTGCATAAGCTTCTCAGTTACTGACCATCCGTTCCAAGCGGAAGCTGGCTCCAGGCTTGGAGCCAGTCATCAACGGTTACCGCTGGATCTTCACCAGAGAAAAATTGGATGGGAGGCACTCTTCCTCTCCTCGTCCGATCGGGCCCCCGTAGTGAGGGTGTCCACAACCATGGACGGGATACACTAGACTGTAGGGTGCATGGACTTGTAGTGGTAGGCAGGTCACCTGGCGGCGGTCGATCTGTCCGACTCAGGGACGTTAAGGCGCGTCCCGAAATAATTCTACGCGCACTACGTTACGTATACCGTAATACTCTAATTTTGCGTATGTACGTAGAAATTTTAAAACGTAATGCGCGCGCGCCGGAGCTTACACGTACGTGTGGGGGTCGATGTGAGCGCACAACGTCGAGAGTTAACGGATCTGTGTACATGTATGTACCTAAAACTATGCCTAATGTTTTTTCTAGTGTTATGAATATAGAAAAAGCGCAGACTGACGCATCGCTAGCTCTGTCATGTCAGCTGGTTGAGTTTTACCGCCGCGCGCATGGCTGGAGAGCGCATGCGCACAATGTTCTCATCTTTGACCTCAGATTCGTTCTAGAGACGCAGCAATCGCGCTGTACGATTAACTAAAACCGGGCAACGGTAAGTAGAGAGCAGTGAAGGAGCTATAGCTCTGCCTTCGTAAGACAGCTGATGGATAGCTCTTTCACCTACTCGGATTGGAACGGTCGGCTCTTACGTTTAGCGGAGGTATGCGTCATTTGCCACGCCATAATTGTAGCCGGTAACCTGAAAGCCATCATAAGACGGCTACGGGAAGGTTTCGTAAGTTCCCATTCAAAATATAATGACTTCGCTACTTGTTTTACTGTTTGACATAAGTGAAATATTCCTTCGTTGGCTAGTTCCTTACCGTTGCTAGTCTAAAGAAATGACGAAAAATACGGACGGTACACGCCCACTATGGATCACGTGACCTGTTGTGGGGTGTGGTCGAGTGTTGTTGTTGGTTTACAAACACTTGTTCAGGTTTGATGTGTGTAACCCCTTTAGTTTTGGAGATACAGCATTTGGGTGTTTCCAGTGCTGGGACGTGCCTTAATGCCCCTGAGGAGGAGTGGTCTCTCTTAGAGTCGAGTCGTGGGGTGTGCCCCCACTGGATGCGTGCCTGGTCCTTGCCCCTGACTGAGAATGATGTGAGGCTCCAGGCAATGGTGGTGGCAGGTAAGTACAGCTGTATCTTCTGCTATGAATGGCCGACGGTGGTTCCACTCTCACTGTCGGCGGTGGACGATGAGTTGCTCTCCCGGTTGTAAGCTCTGCTAGTTTGCGCTTCAACTCCGCGATCTCCTCATCCTTGGCGGCGATGAGGGCATCCTGCTCGGTGAGTTGTTCGCAACTGGTCTTTCAACTCTGTCGCAGCTTCGTTTTTTATTCAGTTAACTTCTGCTTCAGATCGGCAACTTCCCCTTCAAACCTCTCGGTGATCAGTTGCTCCTGCTCCAGGAGAGCATCCTGGAGTTCCGCTATCTGACGGACTTGATCTTTGTCCTTCGTTCGGGAACTTTGGATGATCTCCTCAGCTTCCTGCAGCTGAGCACAAGCTTCTTGCAGCTCCTTCGAAGTTCTTTTCTTGGCCACGGCGCAGGGGCGGCGTACGAACAAATTCGCCTTCGCCATCGGCGAGTGCGATGATCTGTTCGGTGGTCTGTACCTCTCGGATGATGACAACCACGTTAGGGTCTTCCCGCTCGGTCTGGAGTTTCCGTTCGATACACTGGCGAAGTTGGTCAGCTGATCCCCCAGTAGGCAGCCCAATAGCTTCTGCGATGGAGCGCAGGTGAGCGGCCGTCACTCTCCTGGAGTTCAACGGGTAGCGAGGTCGCTGTTAATCGGTGGGCGGGTCTGGTTTTGGTGAATGAATCGCAGACCGCGTTCCTGGCGTCGGAGCACAGTTCCGTTCCGC